GGGTTCTTGCTGGGTGGGCTGCCATGAGATAAGGGTGCTGCTGGGGGTGCTTGGCTCTCGGTGGAGCTGGGCCTGTGCTGGGCTCCCAGGCATGAGGGATGGGGCTGTCCAGGGGCCCTGGACTTACGGGAGGAGGGAAGGGTGCAAAAGGGACAAAGACCTCATCCGAGCACAGGGCAGAGCCATGGTAGAAGGGGCTGTTGGGTGCATGTTCTAACTTGGTGTGAATGTCTGTGGGGTTCCCAGCACCCCTGTGACCCCGCACAGTCGAGTGCAGAGGCACAGGATGCCTGGCCCCGTGCCGTGGCAGTGCCCAGCCCTGGCACTTCCCCTGGCTCTGGCCAGCCCCACTCTGGTGTTTCTCTTGCCTGCAGCACTGGACCCTTCTGAGCGTGTCCCTGTCGAACCTCCTCCTGTCCACAGCGTGCAGCGCGGGCCTGGCTCTGGCCATTGCCCTCACCATCCACGGCCGGGGCAGCCACCTGGTCATGGGCTGCAACAGCTCAGCGCTGCCCGCGGACGCCCGTGCGGCCATAGTGACCAACAACTGTCCCTTCAACACCACGCGCATCTACGTGAGTGTGCAGGGCCCACACCCGGGCCCCCTCCCCCCCGTCTGTCCCTGCTTCCTCTTCTTTCGTTCTCTCCTTTGCCCAAGCTCTCTCTGCCCCTCATCCTCCCTCCCACGCCCTTTCTTTCTCCCCCCCCGTCCGCTCAGCCACCGCTCAGCCGTGTCCAGGTTGGCTGGGAGCAGGGACCAGCTCCTGAGGAACCCCCAACCCTCTGCCCCGCAGGACACAGCGCTGGCGCTCTGGATCCTCTCCCTGGTGCTGGTGGTGGCAGAGGCTGTGCTGTCGGGCAGATGCTGTTTCGTGGCCCTGATCCTCCGGGGCGTCGGGCCCTGCGCACGCGGCAGGGAGCAGGTACAGCCCGCCCGGCCCGTGGCTCTGCCCACCCTTGCTGCTGCAGGCGCTGGGTTCTGCTGGGCACTTGTTCCCCCACAAGCAGACTCTCCAGCAGTGGTGGGGTGGAGAAAATGTCAATTTGAACTATTCTGGGCAGCCTTGGTGACAGGGTAGCACCTCTTCCTCTTGGACAGCTGCAGAGGATCGTCCTTTCATCCCTCTGATAGCCAAACCCTCCCTGTCCCGAGCAAATCCCACCCCCCACAACGTGCCCCAGCCCTTCACACGTTGCTGTCACACTCTGCCTCTGGGTTTTGATTCTTGTTTCTGCTCTAGCTGCCCAGGACAAGCACCATGAAGGCAAGGCCTCCACGTGAGGGGCGGCAGCTCCTGGGGGAGCTGGCCGAGTCTTGTACCTAGCTGGAGAGGTGAGTGCAGGAGGCCACACCTGGGGACGGGAGGGGACGAGCTCTGCTGTGAAGAGGACCCTGCTTAGGGAGGGTTTCTGTCCAAGCACATGCTGTCCAGCAGCCTGGCCTGGCAGCAGGGCCCTGCACTCACTCAGGCTCTTTTCCTCACAGGTGGTGCCCAAGAGTCTGACCCCGCGAGGTGAAGCTGCCCCGTGGTCCTGCCCTGGGTGCAGGTGTGGGTGGGCTGGGCTGCAGTGGGGAGGGCTCTGCCTCCCCACCCCCCAGCCCCATCCCCAGCCCCACCTCTCCACCTGGGACAAACCCTGCAGGTTCCAGACACGCTGCCCCGGGTGACCAGGCAGCCTTAGCCCAGCAGGTGCCATGGGCTCCAGACACTCTCCTCACGCCAGGCTGCAGGGCCCTTCCTGGCACAGGGAAGGCTCCATCACTCTTGTCCATGCAGAGGTGCTGGGGGCTGCCCTGGGTCCTGGTGGCCCTGCTACAGAGCAGGCAGGATCAGCTGGCTCTGCCCACACTCAGGCTGAGGAGGGTGAGGACCCCTTTGGTGTGAGCCTCTCTTTTCCTGAGTAAATAAACGTTTTTCATTTTCACAAGGGCTGCTGTAAGTGTCTCCCCAGGGTGGATCCCTGGTGGGGCTGGGCTCAGAGGTAAGGACAGCACAGCTGGTGTGTAAGACCAGCTCCAAGCTCACTCTCCCCCCAGGCATGGGGATGTAGGCAGATCACAGAATCACTGAGTTGTTTAGGCTGGAAAAGATGTTAAAGATGATTGAGGCCAATTGTTCCCCCAGCCCTGCCAGGTCCCCACTGCCCCGTGTCCCTCACCCCACATCTCCACGGCTTGGAAACCCCTCCAGGGGTGGGGACTCCACCACTGCCCTGGGCAGCCTGGCACAGCCCTGGGCAACCCTCCAGGGCAAGAAATTGTTCCTCAGGGACAACTGAAACCTCCCCTGGGGCAACTTGAGGCCCTTTCCTCTTGTCCTGTCCCTTGTCCCTTGGGAGCAGAGCCCGACCTCCCCCTGGCTCCAGGCTCCTGTCAGGAGCTGTGCAGAGCCAGAAGGTCTCCCCTGAGCCTCCTTTGCTCCAGGCTCCATAACCCAAATGTCTTCAGCTGCTTCTCATGAGACTTGTGCCCTAGGGCATGTTTAACATGGTTGGGTTGAGGCTGAAAGGCCTGGGAGCTGAGTGTGTTCCTGGGCTCCACAGCCCTGGACAAACAGGGTCACAGCAGCATTGAGAAAGACATTTATTGGGGTGGAAGTGGAAGCTGCCACAATCCCGCTCACTGGAAAGAGAAGCTGGTGCTTGGGAGGCCCCCACACCACTGGTTGAGGAACTTGAGCACGTCTTGGCATGCAGGGCTGTGGGATGTCTGCAGAATGAAAGAGGCCATGGCAGTGGCAAGGGACAGCGTTAGGGTTAGGGCTGGGTTTGCTCCAGCTCTGGCAGGGAGGGTGATCCCTGCCGCTGCCACAATCCCGCTCACTGGAAAGAGAAGCTGGTGCTTGGGAGGCCCCCACACCACTGGTTGAGGAACTTGAGCACGTCTTGGCATGCAGGGCTGTGGGATGTCTGCAGAATGAAAGAGGCCATGGCAGTGGCAAGGGACAGCGTTAGGGTTAGGGCTGGGTTTGCTCCAGCTCTGGCAGGGAGGGTGATCCCTGCCCAGCAGCACACAGGCAGGGTGCACTAAGACCGCCCCGGTTCGGTGTATCTCCACCCAGCAGGACAGTGGTTTATTGCCATCAGGAGGGGCTGAACACCCCACAGCCCGTCCTGCTGCCCCACGGGGTGCCTGGCTCACCCTGAGTGCCCCACGGGGTGCCTGGCTCACCTTGACAGCCATCAGGAACTTGTTCCATGTGTCCTTGTTGGTTTCTCGGCCTGGCCGCTTGAACTCAATCTTGTTCCTTAGCACAGGGTAGCCTGGGCACACAGAGACACGCTCGGGAACAAG